CCGACGCTGCTGCGGCTCACCTAGTAATTTTGAACGTCGATCACTCACTTACTTAAAAAGTTGTACGAGCGAGTGAGCTCTCGAGTTTTACCCTCTTTGCTCGCGCGCCCGCGCTCCGATCGCTATATCTATATAAAGGGCTCGAGGAAGGGTGGGAGGGACGACGCAGACACGCGTACGCGCAGACAGCTACTCGTGTTGGAAATTTTCTTCGATAAATTTATAGGCTACTCGGCGAAACTTTTTTTGCGCGCTCCTCCTTATCTTTTTAGCGTCGCGGATAATTAATAAAAATGTGTGTCACGCCCGAGGCTTTGTTACGACGACGGTGCGCGGCGCGGTACAGAGCGCGTCTGCGTCCGAAGCGTATATAGCGCTCCGAAAATGCAAATCGAACGAGCGCTCGAAAGAATGCAAATTATTGAGGTGGCGCTGCACTGCTGCTGCTACATACCTAGCTCCCATGCCGCGCGGGACGCGCTAGAGTTTTAATTTGCTATTTTATATTCTCACTACGGATATAACTTCATCCGAAAGGTAAACATTCCATTCAATATAGAAGAGTCTCGAGGCAGCCGAGAGGATGCAGCTACCCATACCAGCTATGGCACTGCGCGCATTATATATAGCGTATACAAGAAGAAGCCGCGCGTAGCTATGTGTATAGAAGAGAGGAGCTGCGACGAGACAGGCTTGAGCGAGCGTCGCGTATAACTTGCGGCAGGTTAATCGAGCGAGTTGTTTCTCCCCGTGGAGGCTTAGCGGTGCTGTCGAATTAGCGCGCAAGCTCGAGGTAGGAAGCGGCACTCCCCCCCTCCCCCATCCCCCATCGGACTCGTTCTAAAAAGCTGCACAGTGCAGCACTCACTACTGCCGTGCGCATGCACTTCTCCTCTCTATTATGTCTTCGACGAGCTGCGTTGGCTGATTTAATGGAAAGTGAGGCAATCTCAGACAGACTGAACGAGAGCTGCGAGCGCGCACTATGCTACCCACTCTCTGCGCACCCTTCGCTCTACCTTCCACTACCTTCCAATTGCAGCTGTGTTTTGTCTCCGCTTAAAGCGTAGAGCGCGCCGCGCAACAGCTCCTGCTCTGCGGATTCGAGCCAATTAATGCGTGAACGCGGAAAGCGATTAACGATATTACTTCCAGCCGAAAGAGACTTATCAGTTTTTCAGTCTCGATTTATTGCACTGGAGGGAACGAGAAGCCGAGCAGCCCCGTCGCGTGGATAAGTGAATCGCGCGCTCCTACTCGGGCCGGCCTCTTAGATCAGCTCGGCCCCCGTATTAAGAAAGTTTTTTTCCTTTACAATGCACATTCAAAAGTGAAATTGAGACGTCGGGGCCGGGGCACGCGCAGCGAGGAAAAAAACTTGAATTTTATTTGTAAATGCCGCGGATAATGTATACACGTTGTTGCGCGTTAGAGGCAGGGCGTTGGTGCAAATATACGAAGGCGCGCGCTCGCGTATCGCCACCGAGTACAGTTGCGAAATTTATAAATGCCACGAAGGAAAAACAAGCAAGACGGAACTTTTTCCTAAATTGGAAATTTTACTCGCGCAGCTCGTGTTGTTAGCATTACGCCACCGAGGCGCGAGTAAAAAGATACACTCTCGCGCGCGTACGTATAGCGGTAAGTGAGCGTATATTACGCGCGCGCATAACTGTGCACGATGGTGTATAAGTGCCGCCCGCACCCCCGCACCAGCTCTTATACAGCTGCAGCTTAAAGTAAAGCGCAACTCGGGCTGCTTCCTTCATTTTTTTCTCTCCTTCCTCTCTTCTATCTACTCCTACTTTTTTTTTTCTCTCCGAGGAATATTTAATACACACCTTGATGTATTCATTAGGTATGAAAAATACAAGGAACGTTGAATATTTATGCACTGCTCGCTCGAAAAGAGCAATTTGAGGCATTCTTTTGCCTTTTCGCTTAAACGCAAACAATCTCGATGATTCCTGACCTTTTTTCCTCGTTTTCTTCCAACGTAGTTTTCCCGAAACCCCTCGTCCTCCTTCGCGAGAGCAGGAGCTCGCGATCTTTCGAGCGAGCAATTTCAATGGATTGAATCTAGTTGCTTTTTTTTTTAACTGTCAGTTTTCCAGCGTCGTGGTATATACCGTGCCCGCTTTAGTTGAAAAATGTTATATATGATTGAACATAAAACCAAGTTTCATTCAAGCTCGCGGTATAAAGTATTTACACTGTAAGGAGTTTAATTCTGCCACTGCTGCCAAATGTAAATACAGCGAAGTAGGGGCTCCGACTACGCTGGATCGTATACCATTGCCATTATTGCCGTTTACTTTAACACATAGGCGACCCCTAGTACTCTGTATTTACATTTTGAGCTGTTGCAGTTGCAAACTTCTTATAGTGTACATGCGGCGCATTGCATTGCTCTGAACCCCCAACCCACCGCTCTTGCATTGTCCAACTTTCGCGCGCTGGTTCCAACTTGACTCGGACTTTATATACCTCCTCCTCGGACAATAAATCTACTTTTCCTTCTTCTTCTTCTTTCCTTACTTCTTCGTTCTTTTCTGGCGCTCTTGCCACCACCGACTTTCTTCTTCCGTGGCCTGTCTTGTTTGTTAAGAAAAACAAAAGTCTCTCGTATTTTAATTCGAAAATTAGCGAGCTACGGTCCTTTGAGCCGCGAAAGGTGAAATCAAATTTAATTTCGCGTGCCACTAATCGTTACGTCAGTCAGCCATCGCACACGAAATAATCACAATTACGATGATGCTTATAATAATGACGACCGCCACGATACAAGAGACTTTGCGGAAACGTACAGCCAACTACTACAGAGCGATATACTTATAGTAGAGTTGAGCAGTAGGACGATCGAGGCATGAATAATTGTTTTCAATTGCACGCACGCTTCCGGCGAGGGGGGGGCTCACAAATTTGATACGTGCTATTTTCTCTACGAGTGTATGCACAAGCTCGACTCTTGCCTGCCGTTGCTGCTGCTGGGACTAAGTACGGGGTTGCAAAAGCAGCAAAAACTCCGGCGTCAATGGCGGCGGCGGCGGCGGCACAGGCCTCCAAGAACCCGCCCGAGAGGACCTATTAATGCAAACAAGTGTTTCGTTTTGCTGTCGCAATTAATGGCATTCTCTTGGCTCATAAATGCAAGAATGCTATATTGTACGAAAATGCATATGATTTCAACGACCAATTACTAGAAACATGCAAATTAGGCGTTTCGCTTGTTATATACGTATACACACCGAGACCGGGTAACGATTTTAAGAGCGCCGACGTACAAAAGCGAATTCAGTTTCGAGCGGGTGGAGCCGCAGTTATCGTTACGGTACAAGCAAAAAAAAAACATCCTTCGTTCATTTCACCGACAATTTTAATCTCTCTTGTATAAGTCAGTTACATGAAATAACGCATAGATAACACAAATATTTTTGTATGACTCTAATTTGAATGTAATTTCATTGCTACTTTTCAGGCTCTCGCCGTGTTAAATGCATCACGCTACTGGTGCAGAAAATAAGATTTCTTTTATTTTTTGAAAAATTTGTTACTGCACTCTAGCTGCCATTACTTTCTACTACCCCTGAAAGGTATCTCTGCATTAGTAATGTTCGCGTACATTCTTTTGAACTAAAATAGAAATTATTTTCCAGTTACTGTTATGGGTTTGAACGATATTTAATATATATTTTAAGCTTTTTTCTCTCTTATACGTAAAAGAGTTATCCTACCATATTTATGTACAAATAAAAGTCGATATTTTCTTTAGCAATTTATAAATCACTGATGCGCAAAATGAAAAAAATAAAAGCAAACACGAGGCACATTGTCGACGACGCGGACTTTCATACAGAGAGCACGTATTCACACAAACTTTTTTTTATTTTAAAGTTATATGGCTAGTTTTTCAAAAAGAGCTCGCGTGCAGCGACGTATATAAAGTAGCGAAAAGTGGAGCTTTATTATTTATTTAAAATCCCATGTACGCGGTATAAATACGGCGAATAAATGGTAAAGTGCATATAATGGTGCAGACATTAGAGGATTTACACCAAGCGACCGGTTGAATAAATACACGTCGAAAATCTGAGCGACTGATTAAGCTGCCGGTGTCGCGCCGTGGGTATAAGTTTTTTTTTTCGTGGCAGTAGTTCGAAAAATATGAAACAATGATGAACGGCCGGTATATTCCAGCGTAAAGAAAGAGAGAGAGAGAGGAAAGGAAAGAGAGGGAGAGGCAGTTTCAGGAAAAGGCTGAAATATGCATAAATTCGCGATGGCATAATGCACACCAGCGAAGGGCGAACGCGTGGGAGGTAGGTAAAACGAGCCGCTTGTATCAGCTCGTAATGTATGTCAAACGGTCAAGATATATGTCAGCGATAAATATAATATCTCGCCGCGCACGCTGGCGTATCGGCTGTCTATAGATACGTACGCCGGGGATCTGTGCGCGGCGCGTCGACCCTGTGCAGCACGCGGACTTTGACTACGACGACGACGAGGCCTCGTGCAGCGCCCGCCGCGAGTAACTATTAATCGGTCTTCGAAACACGTATATATAGCCCAGCTTCTACACACAGACTCGCATAGCAGTTCTCGCACACGAGCTCGCGGTAGAGCGATTCGTGAGCGCATACACGTGTACATGTTTGTAGAGAAAAGTTGGCCGTAATGGTTCGGCGAAAAGCGAGTAAACGCCAGCGGGAGAGGGAGAGAGAGTGGAGTTAGAGAGAAAGAGCTTAGCCGTGCTTTCCGCTATATTACGTAGGCTCACGTGATGTGCCTCGGTGCGAGCGAGCCTCGAGTATAATCGCACCGTTATTATATATACACACCCACACACGCCGACGCACATAGCACACGTGCATATACACACACACACAAGTATGATGTATGTGTTATATATAAATGCATGTATGCGCGCTGCATGGGATACGGCATAAGACCATTTTGTGAGCGCAGACAGATTCGTGCATGGATAATACGTCACTCACGTGAAATATATTCCGCGACGAGAAGTTGTTTCTCTACATTCGAGCAGCTTTTGTTGGTGCACTACGTGCTGATGCCGCCTCTGCCGCTTCTGTGCGTGATAGTACGTATGTATGCGAGGTAGTAAAACACACGAATGCGGCTGAAATCTGTGGCTTCGTTGCAGCGTGCGCTCCCCGGTTGCGTTGTGTTTTTTTTCTCTACCCTCCTTTTTTTCTCTTCCTTCTCGCAGCAAGAGAGAGAGAGAGAGAGCACTGTCGACACTATATTCGATGACACACTGCGAAGCACTAGTTTCTCCCAGCTCTTACTCTTTCTTTTTCATTTCCTATACGCTTTTTCCTTTCTTTTTTTTTATTACATGATTCTACAATAGCGAACTGAATAACTTGGCACAATGGTAGTGCACGAAAAAACCCCGGCACCACATTCGATTCGATGAGCAAAACACAGCACGTCACTTTTCTCGTTGCAAATATAAATGTCGCACTCGTTGGCAATCGTCGTTGTTCGCACTCTTTTTTTATCTTTATCTCCCCTCGCAATCGTTGTCAAGTTGTCATTTACTGTCGTTAAAAAAAAAAAACAAACGTAAGAAGATGAAGAGGGAGAAATCGCTGCAAGCGACACTGACCGGTTCGAACTCGTGTAGGCCACTGCTCCTGCGTTGCCTGTATATAGCGCGGGGAAAAATAGCCGCTACACGAAAAGAGGCGGGCTCGCACGAGATCGGTACGACGGCAAGTCTCGCGCTCGACTGAAACTGCTGTGCTTTGGCGCGCAGCGGGCCGACGACTCCGTTGGCTGCTGCGGCTGACTCGAGCTTGACGCGCTCTACTGCGCGAGCGCAGCGCACTACACAGCTGCATACGACGACGACTACACCAACTCTCGGCTACTATGTATACCTATACGGGTAACGGGCTCGGCGTACACGCGTATACACGTATACAGTGTATGGTATAGCCGAGTGTGTACGTCGCGGAGTCGTCGACTCGAGTCGGGCGGCCGCTACGACGACGCCAGCATACAACAACATCATTTCTGCGCCCCGCGCGCGCATATACGAGCGAGCCAAGTATTGCGCTACGTGATTGCTGGCTAATTGGCTGGCGTATACCGATTTGCAGCGGTTGTGTATCTGATACCGCGACTTTCTCTCTCTCTCTCTCTCTCTCTCTTACTACTGTGCACTGCAGCTTTCGACGCCGAGTCGCTGGCTTTACTTTATGCAGACGCGCATATACGTATATGCAGTCGGTGGCTAAATCTTACGAGGCGATTTTTTTTTATTATTATTTTCTCTCTCTTTCTCTCTCTCGTCGCTCGGACTTGCTCGATTGGCACTTCCGTATACATATATACGTAGCGTTGCCGAGCGCCACGCGCACGCTCTATACCATACTGGCATCGAACGAACCAAGGCCCGGCACGGCGGCTACGTGCCTGCGCGTCGTTAGCGAGACTCTTTTTAGCCGAGTCCTCGTTTTTTCTTTGTTTTGTGCCTTCGAAATTGCGTGCAGCTATGCAGCCGCGCCACTGTTGCACGAGCGAAAACATACGACCATGTGTGTATATAAGCCCTTGGAAATCCGCGCGGATATATACGTACTACTAATACTAAGTATACGCGGGAGTCTTTTGACGATTATCGTGATTTAATTTAATAACGCGCTCCTCGCCTTCGAGCTACTTGCCTGTCTCTGCCGAGCCATTACCACGTGTTTCCACCCAACTTCGAGCTCGAGCTCCTCTAATTAATAATCCTTTTTACCAATTTTAAGCCATATACATCTGCTTTTACCGCAACCGAGCTAACTGCTGCTCATGAAGATTTCATTCACTCGTGGCTCCGATATACGATGAATTTTCCATTGACTGCATCGATCGCACAAAGAAAGCACTGCACACACAACTTTTTAATTTCATCCCAAAGTCCAAGGTAAACATGTAGGTGGCAATTTTTACTTTTTTTTTTACTCTTTTCTTCTCCTCCTCGCCTTTTTGCCGCGCGAGAAAAGAGAAGAATTGCGAAGAGAGCGAGTTGCGTGCGTGTATATATGTAGGCGAAGAAAGAAGGCGAAAAGAAAAAAAAATGAGGGAAAAAAAAGAAGGAAAAAAAAAATGAAGAAGAAGTCGGTACGCGCGTGGTAGTCGCGATTGAGGGTAAAAGTGGTAGTCGCAGTGGCAGTCGTAGCCGAGGAAGCTAAAAGGCAAGTTTGCACGTACCTGAAGTGGTTATATGCATATATGTATACATATAGAGAACGGTTATATAAGCGGAAAGCGGACAATGTCACGTAGTTTACCATAGAGAGAAGTCGACCAGAGGCGCTTGTCGTCGTCGTCGTCGTCGTAGCCGTCGCCGTCCTCGTAGTCGTCGTCGTCGTCTGTGTGTTAGAGCCCCGTGTACAGTAGGGGCTGCTGGTCGTGTAGACGCGTGGAAATGCAACGCTTTATGTCGCAAGTGGCGCGATTCACGAAAAGCAACAAAAAAACGGGCGAGCGAGAGAGAGAGAGAGAGAGCGAGAGAAAAGTGAGCGTGCGTGAGTGCGGGAGAAAAAAATTCTAACCACCGCACAGCCGTTTAGTACATTCTTATTTTCTCTCTTGTAAATAACTACATGAATTTAGCTTTTATACACATGCACGCAGGCGTCGTTGCGGTGACGATGATATATGTATCCGGAAGCTTTGCCTCGGCAAATTGCCTCGTGCGCAGTCTCTCGGGCTGTCTTTTTGCCAGCTTCGGAGTCGGAGCTCCCCCTTGCTCGCGAGTCGAGGTCTAATGAAAGCGTCGACAATCAAGCGAGCTTTGAATTTTGATTCTAGACTCGCGCGTTGCGAGCAGTCGAGCGTATCTGACATGTATACTTTGTCGGCGAGAGAGCTCGGAGCGGTAGCAGCGGGTAAAACTCGATGATCCAAAATGTACATGATAAATGTAAAAAATGCTGCACTGCTGCTGCTGGTCATTTTTTCGCACGACGACAGCTCCAGCTGCTGCGCGAATATGTATAATAAATAAAGGAGGCAATTCGCATTCGTCGTCCGCTGCCAAGCAGAGTGTCGCCAGCGATCCTAAGGCACTTAATTTGCATGCGACCTCTTCTCTAACTCCATAATGAAATATGCATTTTCCGTTGCGAGTTTGTGAGAGCTGTACGTGTGAGTGTGTGTGTGGGGGGTGGGTGCGATTGCGACGACGACGACGACTGCGCGAGGACGATCGCCACCGCCGCCGCCGCCTTCTGCCCTACACAGCCCAAGAAGGATGAGCAACCGTACGAGAAAGGTAAAGAGAGCGTGACTTCTGCTCTAATTACACTCGCGCCATATACATATATAATTCCGGCAGGCGCAATACGTACGTGTGAGTGTCTGCAAAGCGCGTGCGGACTCCAGTGTCGCTAAAGCAGTTCAAGCTTTTATACATATGGCCGATTCTCTCCAAATTTTAATCGACTTTTAGGATCGTCTATAACACCATCGCTATTGAAATGAATTTTTTTAAACCAATGATTCGTTGTCAACAACGGTATTTGTTTCTACTACTTGGAGGTTTAAAAACACTAAAATGACGTTGATCAATTATTTTAAAAAACCGACCTCTTATAACTTATACAATTAAGTTCATTTTGTCACTTGCATATTTATAACAGACATGGGTACTCGCCATCTAGTATTGAAAGCTGGCACTAATTACAAATGGCGGCAACTAATTTAAAATATATACTTTTTTTGAGCAATGCAAGTTGGCTAAAATGTTGCCGTTTGGATTTTATATCAATGTAAATATTTCAAACAGTATAGAAGAAATAAGTGCTTAGACCCTTTTGGAGTATTTTTTCTGAAAGTTTTGAAAAAAGCTCAATCGTAATTTTTTTCTCAAGTCACTTACGACTAAGCACGAGATTTCTTAATATTAGTAATAAGCATGAATTTCGGAATGATTCCAATTTCGAGTTTTTGTAAGTGATCATTACTTACAAAAAATTGTAAAAAAAATTTGGAAACATGTATGTAAACAAATACAAGTTTCTTATAATAGCCGAAAAATAAATTTTTGGGCCATTTCATTTTGCAGAGTCAGCCATATACATCGACCGAATATTCCAGCTGCTGAATGAATGCAAGACCATTGTAATTAATCGCAAATGCTGAACGACGACTCGCAGTTCCACTGGTATGTTGATATTTAAATTGCGTATCGTTTGGAATTAAGGTCGAAAAGAGATACTAGTGACGGTGTGGTTGAGCGATATTCCTGCATTGCAGCTTATACCCTAAAGTATTCCAGTGGTTCATCATTAAAGAGCTGCTCGGCCATCAAACATTTCCGGAACAATCCATCTTGATGTATTCGCGAAAACGTAAATTGAGTAATAATATAAAGCTCGGAGGAAAAAAAGAGTGTTCGCAGCTCTTGGGATACTCAATCGAGTTAACAGCTAGCTGAGAGAAAAATTGAAAGAGTTCGGTGGTTAGTTCAAAAAAGGTGTAGATCAACTAGCCTGGCCCCTCAGTGAACTCGGCTCTTCTGTATGCAAGAGCTTTGCCAGATTCAAGTGGCGCCTGAGAGTAGCTGGTAGTAGGGCAGCAATTTTTCATAACTCAAATTTCCAATCAAGTAACTATAGCAAGTAATATCGGCGGTCAATTTTTCTCGAAAAAATTTTCTCTTCGCTCTCGTAAAGCAAAAAAAAGTTCCGAGAGTCTAATGAGAAAATATATGCTAATTATCATTTTCTCGCTCGTCTTTTTAACCGAGGCGTGAAATTAATTCGCTGATATTTAATATTACGTATATTTTACCAACGGAAGGGCTCAGAAAGAGAATAAAATATTCTTAATCTACATATTTTGAATACATATCCGAGCTGCAGGCGTGTCGAGCAATACGCGCACTTCTACTATACTTGAAAATACATTCACAGAGCGCCATACGCGTACACACATACACACATATATACAATAGCTGAACTCGACTATTCACGAGCAACTTGGGGAATCAGATATAAAGCGCAGCATGGCACGCAGCCGAAGCAGTAGTAGCGCGAGGTAGCAGATTTCAAGTTTGTTCTTCTGATGATTTCTATCGAGTCAAAAATTCATAATCTTGAGTTTCGTGAATAAACTAAAGGCTGTGGGGGGCAGGGATACGCGTTCATCTTGCAAGCTCTTTTCTCTCTCTCTCTCTCTCTCTCACTCTCTGTTTTTCATTGGCGCATGGCCGGATACGCATGGCACGGAATATAATACACAAAAAGGTTAAAAGATATATAAGGTGCAGTATTTATGAGGGCTTTTAGTCTGACGAATTCCGCGGCCAGCCAAGATAAACGGTCGTTCTCTCTTGCACGAGCTGTGGAATGGTGAGCTTGCGCGCTTACAAAAGCTCGCCTCCTCTTGCTCCTACTGCTGCCGCTAACCAAGGCTGTTCTGAGATATCTGACTTTTAG